TAAAATTTTAGATAACAATTTTAAATCAGAGTTTAACAATGCAATGGGCCTATAGGAACTGCAATTTTCTGGGTCCTTGCCTTTTTTTAATATAAGATAAATATTTGCTTCACGAAGTGAAGAGGTAGACTATCGGTCATAAATGAATGATTAAGCATGGCTAAGAGAGGGTCTAACAGTACGTGCTCAAATCATTTTAACATTTTAATTAAATGAAGTACACAGCATGCTGATTAATCAAATATATTGCAATTAATCACGTATCAATGTAGCATAAAAAAGCCCCCAAGTTGAAATAATTGAAGACATTACTCTTATACATTACATTACAGCAAAACATTGTAAAATTTCTTTAATTTTTTAAATACGCAAAACCCTCTAGTTCTGCCAGTGTGAGAAAGCCTTTGAATCTTTTTATATATCCATACTGCAGTGGATGTGACCTAGACTGCAAACTCTCGCTTTATATCCAGCCACTGTATCAGCTCGAGATGAGCAATGGATCTGGAGAGGTGCCAGGCCAAGCTGGGACTGCTGTGTGTTAGCTAGGACGAGCTTTACGTTTTCCTTCAGCAAGACGAGTTGATGAGTGCAGTGGGACAGGGGGAAGAGGTTGGGGGGAGATAAAAAGAATGAAGTTGAGTGGAGAGAGAGAGTGATGAAGAGTAAAATGGAGCACTAAAGGGACATGATGCAAAAGAGAGTGTGACAGAGAGCAAAGCAGCGGAAGAGAAAGATGCCGTCGAATACTATATAGTATACAAGATTAGTGTGCCTCAAATCATAGTTTTTTTTATTACTTTATTATGGTTGATTATGATTCCAATATGTCACCAAAACCCCCCAAAATGTTTCCCACTGGGGAACTGGACCTCATATGTGACCCTGGACCACAAAACCTTCTTAAGTTGCACGGGTATGTTTGTAGCAATAGCCAAAAATACATTGTATAGGTCAAAATGATAAATTTTTCTTTTATGCCAAAAATAATTAGAATATTAAGTAAAGATCATATTCCATTAAGATATTTAGTAAATTTCCTACCATAAATATATCAAAACTTCATTTTTGATTAGTAATATGCATTGCTAAGGACTTCATTTGGACAACTTTAAAGGCGATTTTCTCAATATTTTGATTTTTTTGCACCCTCAGATTCCAGATTTTCATATAGTTGTATCTCGGCCAAATATTGTCCTATCCTAACAAACCATACATCAATGTTTATTTATTCAGCTTTCAGATGATGTATAAATCTCAATTTCAAAAAATTTACACTTAAAGGAACACTCCACTATTTTTGAAAATAGGCTCATTTTCCAACTTCCCTAGAGTTAAACAGTTGAGTTTTACCGTTTTCAAATCCATTCAGCCGATCTACAGCACTTTTAGCTGTAGCTTAGCGTAGATCATTGAATCTGATTAGACCGTTAGCGTCTCGCTCAAAAATGACCAGAGTTTCTATATTTTTCCTATTTCAAGCTTGACTCATCTGTAGTTACATCGTGTACTAAGACCGACGGAAAATGACAAGTTACGAT